AGGTTTACCTAGAAAGGTGGTAGAGGTTTTTAAGGCCTAACTTGACTAAGCCCTGGCTGGGATCATCTAGTTGGGGACAGTCCTGCTTTGAGCAGCCAGTTGGACCAGATACTTCCAACCCCAATTTCCTATGGTTCTGTGGCAGGGGCAATTCCTAATAGTGCTCACACTTTATGCTTGCGAACGTCTGGGAGTTTACCCTATGCCTTACCTAAAGAGGAGATGGGGGCAGGGGGCGTTGAGGAGCAGCCTGTAGTTCAGGAAGGTGGTTGGATTCCCACCCTCAGCCTGAAATGTGATTGGGAAGGCTGGCTCTTAGCTCCGGGATATATAAGGCTGTGATGCTACCAGTGCAGAATCATGTCACCCAGGTGCATGGAGACAGTCTGGGGTGACTTTCCCAGATTCCTCTGAAGAGATGCCTGGACCTCTTACCTTCTTCTCACTGTATTCTGCATACTCTTTATTGTATCTCATCAACAGCTCCTTCTTGAGCTCTTCAGCTCGGGGAAACGCGACCTCTTTGAGTTTCTGAGGAAGGGAAACAAATGGAGATGATGGCAGGGTAGGGACAGCAGGACTAGTAAGCAAACTAGGATGTGTAACAGCATGACATAAACTGCTCCCATACACAATGCAAGAAGAGAGAGCGGAAGCCACGAGTTGTCTGGGTGGGGGTGGAACGCTGCTATGATACTGAAGCAGATGCAATCCAGAGGCAGGGGGCTTACAGCAGTGGCACCCTACACAGCAAGAAGCAGCCAACTGCTAGAATGGCAGTCTGCTGCTGCAGTGGGACATGACTGCTTGCTAATCTATTGGGGATGAAACATCCTTAGTTCCCTATTCCCGTCTCATGGCTAGGGAAGAAGGTAATCCCTTGGCTCCTTCATCCACAGATAGTACTGAGATGGACAGTCCCAACACATACCACCTACGGACTCACATATTTAACCAAAGGGAACAGGCACCCTTGAAGAGTAGAATGAGGCTCCATAAAAACAGCCTGGTGACTGTCACTACAGAGAGCCTATATTCTTATGCACCCAGTAGCTGCTCTTTCTGGCTAAGCATAAGACCAACGTACCAGAGACACAGGGGCCTAGCCCAACACCAGGCAGCTTGACCAGGCCACCTGATGGACCCCACTACACCCAAACATTCCAAGCGCAAGGCCAAGAGAGGCTGCAACTCACCTTCACAGTCTCCTTCTTTTCAGGGATGACAGCCGTCCTGTAATCCCGGTGTTTTGGCAGTTTCTCGATAAACAGCCTGGGAAGGCAAAGCCAAAAGGTCACCTCAATGGACAACAACGTTGAGATGCAGGGTGCCAACCTTTTTACTGGGGTTTTTCTTGCTGCCCTAGCACTGGGACCACCTGTACTCCCATTCCGATGCTTATGTGGGACACAGAATTCTGCCTTCCACACACCAAGACCCTCCCTAGCAATTTGGGGGCTATATTTGTACTTCATCTGTATAGCACTTTATACATGGCTATTTGGGCCCATCAGTAGAGACCTTAGGTGCTAGCTCAGTATTGAAAAACTTAACAGACCTCTGTTTAAAAACATTCAAGCAGGTCTCTCACATCTAGTTTTGCCTGGTGAGAAAGAAGGTGTCTGGGACTGCACCCAAGTGTCTGACAACACAATGCGCCACAGAACTCTCACTGGGAGCAGCAAGTCTGTGTCCCTTGCATAGCGCAGCCCCATTCACTCAAACTATTGCACATTTCTCTGCCAGGCTCAGGGGCTGGCACTGCTCCCGAGGGCACAGAGAAAGCAGCTCTAAGCTCCTGATCAGGAGGCTGCCTGGTGCCAGGGCACTCCCTGAGCAGGCTGGAAGAACTTGTTTCTAGCTGGTGCCAGTTATCCAGGGCAGCCACAAGAAGTGCTGGGACCAACAATGCCAGGGCACGCTGCTTTCCCACAGCCATGTGCCCAGCTGCAGGACTCATAACACTGGCAGCGGGTGCCACCACTGGGTGTCTTGCTATGGGGCTGATCCCTCATTCCAGCTACAGGGGTGGTTCTGTGCCATAGGGGAGTCACTTGGGTCACTCCTGACACTGAAACCAGACACTCTCAGCTTGGTCCTGCTGACTGCATGTGCCCAACTTGGCCCTTAAGCCATTAGCTGTGGGACAAAATCTGTCTTCAGGAAAAGAGTGCAAATCCAGGGCAGTGTCACTGATTGCAGGGTGACACTGTGTAATCGGGGAGAATTAGGCCTCATGGGGACAGCATTGAAGGGTTGGAGGCCAGAAGGGAACACCACAATCAAACCCTCCAGCCTCCTCCCTCCCAGTCCAGGCAACGTCATCTTGTGATTCTGGTACCCGATCTGTGATGTCGGTATGAGCTACAAGAGTTCCTCTGAAAGGGGATCCTGACCAGCCTGAAAGACTCCAAGAGATGGCAAACCCACCACCACACTGGGCTAGATCATACCAACCACCAGATCACATTTAGGGGCACCCAATTCCTAGTGTGAATATACACAGTCCCAGTTTCCAAACTAGATCTCATGAGGCCTTTATCTATTATGATTCAATGCTATGGGAACACATGCAGAGACCTAGATTCTCTCTTTAGCAGTGGTGCAAGTAACTCTGTGGAAACCAGTGCCATTATGTCATATTTGCACAAGTGACTATGGCTCAGAACAGCAATGAGGAGCCCAGAGTCAGAGCCCAGTGTTAATGACAGGCATTCAATTAGCTGATCCAAGCATATACACCTAAAGCAAATGAGCTGTGCTGTCCCTAACACCAATTAATTTAAATACAGTAAGATTCCTCCCAACCAGACCACAAGGAAAGATAAGCGCCTTGTGTATTTTAAGGCTTCTGCAGAGGAAACACACCAGTGCCTGTTACCGAGATGATGAAGGAGCTGTCAGCTCAGCTGTTTAGCTAAGGGAGGTTGTTTCACACAGTAAACTGGAAAGATTCCACTTGGTTTTACGCTTTGCAGCTTCCTGGCCACCCTCCCTCAAGCACAAAACGATGCCCATAAAAGCTCAGGAGTTGGAAGGGGTAAGTGAGCCTAGTGCCCAGGCTCAGCAGGGAAAAATGAACTGAATTTAAGAGGGTGGGCCTGGGGCACTGTCCTCAGGGCCAGGCGTAGGAAGGAAGAAAGTGATGGCAGGAGGGGGACAACTATCTTATGGGTAGCCAGGCTGATTTATCAGGTGCAGGAAGGATTTTTTCCCCCCCTTAGCTTCTGATTAGGCTCAAGGAAATGAGTATAAGAAAACAAAGTTGAGCTTTGTGGAGGGGTGCAAGGGAGCTTGACTTTCAATACAAGTTGGGCTTCTACCTCCCAAAGGTTCCTTTGAAAATCCCAGCATTAAATCCTTTACAGATCAACACGTTCATCTTTCATCAGCTTGAGATCCCAGCCCCAGTAGCCATCCTGTCTGGGTTAGTTATTGGATGGGAGATCTTCCACAAAAGTCCAGAGACTTGCAGGAAGAGTTGATGGCAATGCAGAGCATGATGTGACTGGGTGCTCAGCTCCAGGTCTCCCACTAACCTGCTGGCAATTCACCAGTGGCCCCAGAGGCAGGGCACCAACACGGTTCACCTTTAATTTCAGCCATGGTTGATCTAATCCCCAGCCCCTGACCACACAGCCTTCTACAGGCTCTCACATGGGCCAAGAGCTGCTAGGTCCAATTGGAATGCACATCTAGCAAGGCTGTGAATGAAAACATCCCTAAGCTGGGCTGGACAGCGGCAGGAAGAAACTCCTCACAAGCAAGGGAGTGTTTTCAAAGGGTGACGGCCTGGCTGTGACTGGGGAAGAAGGAGGAAGCAAGAAGAGAGACATCCCCAGTGGCCTTGTTCAATTCTCAAAGGGTTAACACACTTCCTAGCAACCAAGAGGTTTCTAGCTATGACGGGTTAGGACATGTTGGATTTGGAAGCTGGCTGTTGGTCCTTTGGTGTAACCCAGTGGTTTTCACCCTCATTAGACCTGAGACCCACCTTGGAACTTGTCAGCTCTTAGCTTTCGCTTGTTTTTTGGCTATAGAAAAATACTAGAGCCATTCTTCTGTTACAAAGAGCGCAAAGAGCCCACACCAGGGCAGAATGGTTCTGACATTCCGGATTTCTATTTGAAACCTCTGGTTTTTTGCATACCTAACAGCAAAGAGAGCACATAGCACTCCACAGTTCCCTTAAAAAAAAAAAATCTCTCTCAGCACTCTAGTTGAGAATCACTGGTCTAGCCCAATGTTTCTCAATCTGTAGGTAGAGACCCAAAAGTGGGTCACAAGAATATATGAAAGGGTCAGGAACAAACTTAAAAAACAGATTCTCCTTTAAAGGAGAAAAACGCAGGAAACCCTGGCTTTTCTCTTGCAGACTGGTGCTGGGGGACTGGTGACTGAGGGCAACAGGTCAGGAGTAAGGGGCACTGGGTTGGGACTGGCCACTGATGTTTACAAATGGGTCCTGGTACAAAACAGTTGAGAACCACTAGTCTAGCCAACGGTCTGAACTTATACAATGCTTCCTGCTCACTGCAGAGAGGCAAGTGGGATCATCAGTCTCATTCTAAAGATGGGGAAACTAAGGCACAGAGAGGTGAAAGGACCTGCCCAAAGTGACTGGGGGAGTGAGCAGCAGGAGTGCTCTGAGGTTAGTAATGCCCAACACACAACACGAGAGGCCCATGCCCTAGATCACACAAGGGGAATAAGTGAAGGGAGGGTTCTTACGTGATGTACTTGTTGTACAGGATGAAGGCACGCTCGATGTTGCCCTCCTCTGCATAAATCGTCGCCATGCGGAGGATTTCCACACCGGAGCGGTAGTATCGACGCGGTGGGACATCCTCGTTCACCTCCACAGAGCTCCCCATCTGCGTAAGACCCCGCACCCGCTCCTCTGGGGTGAGGCTGGCATCCATGTGGTCAGGCATTAGGCTCACGTGTCTGGAAAGAGGATGCCCAGGAAAGCTGCTTTATCGCAGGTACAACCTCTTCATACAACCCTCCCAGGTAGACAGCCCCACCTAGGCACAAAGGGGCTACCCAGGGAAAGGGGATCTAGTTAGTGGGCTGAGCAGTCCTGAGGCAGGAACTGGAGGAAGAGCTGAGGTTTGGACATAGGTGTTTCAGACTTGCAGCTAAGATGAGACTATGTTTTGGAGTTTCCCTGCAATGGCAAATAGGCACTAAAACTTTCTTTTCAACAACAGATTAGGCCAAATTTGCATCTCACCACCTTCCAGAGCCATCTGCAAGGCACGTCAGTCAAACCAAGCATGCTTCCAGGTGCTCAGGGGAAAGAAGAATCAGCTGCCCAAGGCTACCACACCAAGTCATCAACTACTACATGGAGCAGCAGCAAGAACATAGCTCATTCTGTTACAAATAACAGACACAGCTTCACGTAGGTTCTCATTTTGTGGCAGCCATCACTACGGCGCTGCCAGTAACTAAACAATACCAAAAAGGTCACAACTAAAAGGCCACTCAAACCATAATCCCTGCAGAGTCTCCTTGCTGTTTAAGCACAATAAGCCAACCACCGATTCTCTCCCTACTTCCTTTATGCCCCTGCAAACATCCCCTGTCTTTCTGGGAGTGCACATCAGCCTGGCCCCCACTCACCACGGTCCCTGCAAACACATAGCTGGCCATCCTCCTGCCTCGTGGCATGCTGCATGCATACCCTGTAAACTGAGAAGGGCCAGGAAGCAAAGCAGAAGAGGAGGCATTCACACAATTCTTACCTGCTTCATTTACCCTTTTGCTGGAGACCCATCTATCTTGCCTGATATATGCTGGCCACATGAACACCCTCCAGCAGATGGCTTTTACCCTGTACCAAAGTCCTAGTGCTGAATCTACAAATCTCACAACAACAGATCGCCACAACCACGTGAATATGATTTACTGGATCCTCCCACTAAACAAGGGAAGGGGTCATATCCAGGCACAGGCAGCCACCTTTTTGTCCTGAGCCCTAGTGGCAAAACAAGCTGCATTCCCACGTTTCTCTCCATGTAAAAACCTCTTTTCACAGGCAGCCCTACAAGTCAGTCTTCAGTTGGGCAATGCATGGTGAACTGTCAATGACAATGTTTTCTAAACAAGGGCTGTTGCAATAAATACCACAATAGTTGGCTTATGATCTAAACACAATACAAGGTGCTCAATCTAACGCCCAGGTAACCACAGACCAGAAAGTGGCTGAGACTCTTCCCTACAACACATGACACCTGGAGGAACGAGGCTTACAGCAAAGCCATTTGCCAACACAAGCCTTCCCAGAAGGTGAACCGCAATCATGTCCTGAGCAACATGCTAACGCAGCACTGGGCTGTCACACAAGGGCAACCACAAAGCAGTTTTCACTGGAAGCCTACCCTGGGTGAGGGGGACTGACAAGGGTCTGTGTCCACAGAACAGACGAGCCACCCCAGACGCACAGCGCGGCTCTGTTCGGCCGCATGGTCCCCAACTTCTTTTAGCCTCAAGGCCCCCTTGGAGCACGCCAGTGCCGAGCTTTCTTGCCTACAGAAAGCATACAAGAGCGGCTCTGCTGCTGCAAAGAACCGAGTGTGACCCCAGCGGGCCAGAGCAGTCTCAGCAGCTCGTGTGCTCCCCCTCACAAAGCAGGTGCAGGGGCCTGTGCCCCAAGGGGGGCTCACAGCATGGCACTCACTGCCACAGATCCCAGGGCAGCCCCATGAGCCCAGGGTTTCCCCTCCCTCCCCCAGCGAGCTGCTCCCACCCCACATCCTCCTGGTCTCACTGCTGTTGTCCTCCTCAGCCCTGCCAGCACCCTGCTCCAGGTTCCCCCAGCCTTCGTACTGCGGGGCCACATCCTGCTGCTCTGCACAGGTTAGTCTCTACGGTGCTGACCCACTCCTGCCTCACTTCGGTCTGAGGCTGCGAAATCCCCTCCCCAGGGGCAGGTACTCACTCACCGCCCCCCCCCCGAGATCTCAGACCCACCGCCAAGCCCCACACAGCCCCCCTGCCTGCTTCCTCGGGGCCCCAGCTGACCTGACAGCCCACAAGGCAGGCCACCGGGGGCTTACAACACCACTTCCAGGTAGCCGGCTTCCGCTCAGCCTCAGCCTATAGGAACAGACGCTGAGAAGCCTCGAGACCCAGCCTTTCCTCCGATCTCATTGTGAACGGCCAATCAAGAGGAGCGGCTACATCCGGGGTGTCGCCTTCCACCGCTGACTTCCGGCGAGGTGACTTTTTTTAATGCTTAAAAGCCACCAACTTGCGCACAAAGGGGGCGGGGCGGCGGCCATTTTGAGGCAGTCACTGGAGGACGCCTCATGGGGAGGGAAGTTCTTAAAGGGGCCGCGCAGGAAACCAGGCAGCTGCTTCACCCTGCACAGCGACTGCATCCGAGGGAGGCCCCGGGCTTCCCCAGAGCGCAGCCCGGCTTCCCCGTCATAGGTTACATGTATTATGCAATTCACTGGTGAACTGCACAATAAATTTAGACGGGCCAGACTGGCAAAAGTAATTATCACATCCTAGCAGTTATGGTAGTGCTTGGAAACGTGTAACAACTTCATAGCTGGTTTCTCTGCAGCTTTCATTTGAACGTGTGGCAGGTCCCGACAATCCACGGGGAAGAGGGGTATTTCAGCCAATGCATCAAAGCATGTGCCAACAAGCTTTATTAGTGCCCAGGTGGCCTTGCAAGCAACCTGCACAGGGGAAGAAAAAAAATCAAGTCAAGAACGCGGCGTACCGGATCGTCTCATGTACAACATGCCCACAATACGATACCCGCCCTCTTCTGTCTGGGAAAGGCACAGCACAAAGAAGATCTTTCCTTGTGGCACATACCCGGGTAGCAGCAGGCAGGAAGCCGATGCTCGCTGTAGATCGCTGCACGTTTTACCTTCAGGTTTCAGGCAGCAAGCGGCAGAACCTGCTCTTGCCACATCTCTCGCATATAATTCACATTCCAATTCCCAGAAGCTGGTTTTTGGGGGAAAAGGTGTGTGGTGCGTGACAGAAAATATGATAACAAGCTAACAGAAGAGAATAATAAAATTAATAGACTTAATACAGTAGACTTAATCAGGGTTTGAATTACACTTGGACTCTTAGGGGGGGTAAGAGGTAGCAGTGGGGGCGAGAAGCTGCAGGGTAGCCAGGGTGCAGGCTCCAGGTGGCTGCAGCAAAAAGCACCCAGCAGCAACTGGGGCGGGGGCACGGCATTTTCCCCCACGTGCTAAACAGCAGTTTATGCCCAGCTGGGCTCTCATCTCTTATGGGGGTGCTTAGCCCCCCCCCCCGTAATTCAAACCCTGGACAATAGAGTAGATGAGACCATACTGAGGGCAGGGGAAAGGCTCTTGCTTTAGCCTTTCCTCATCTCTGACGAAAGTCACTGCAAAGGTAACAAAACAGCAACAATCTTTGGAGCAGGGTTTAGAACTGCCTACATACTTGTCAAGCACCCAGCCAAACCGGACGACATTCCTACCGCACCACTTCATGTCGGTCTGGCAAGTCAAGTTCCAGCCCCAACACAAAGCCTGTTTACATCAGTCAAACTTCAATTACGACAGCCTGACCTCTTAGCCTCAGAATTGTGCGAGGGATCACTCAGGACACTATACTCTTCCCAAACCAAGCCAGCTGGGGAGCGTTTGCCTCCTAACATAATCTATAGCAGAACAGTAGCATGGGTTCTACTCCATAAACCGATATGGCAAGCTGACAACATCAAGTGAGCAGACTAGAAGCGCAGCAGTCTTCACAATACCCAGAGGTGACACTCTGGCAGCCTTTTACACATGACACTTCAGGAGTGGAAGATCATAAACACTTTATTAAACTTAATCATTGCTTCTAATTCAACACACACTTCAGCCAACAGCTGCAGTGAATACCTTCAGAGATGCAAAAAACTTAAATAAGAAAACAACTTATATACCTGAGGAAGGCACACTGTTAAATCAGTCTTCCACCAGTAATGAACTCAATAGGCATCAGACAGCCTGGATAGAGGATGGCAGCCATGTGAAGGGTTTTACTTCACAAGGAGGTTAGCAAATCATGATGCCAACACCCTAGCCCTGTCCATGCCACACTCAGGAGTTGGGGAGGAGACTTCGTTGCTCTTATTCAACTGCTTTACTTGGAGCAACTTAATGTGCATGGCAAGATTATCCCAGCCAAGCTGAGGACAGATTCATGCCATCCTCACACTGAGGAGAAGCAACAATTTGTTCTTTGAGCAAAAGGGACATTACTTAATAAGTGACCATATGTCCAGATTTTAATAGTAACTGTGTACATCTGGGATGGCATCTCACTACATGGCCTATGGTTCAGTCATTCTTATATGAATTTAAAGTGGGGGGAAAAAAGAGCAACGAGATTAGAAACCTTAGACATGCAAGTCTCCTCCATTAATCCACAGAGTAGGAACAGGCAAGTTTTACAGATATGAAAGCTCATACATTTCTAAGACTGGTCACCCCTGGAACAAGAAAGAAACCTGTGTCCATGCTGGCCTCTCCAAGATATAAAAGTAGTGGTTTGCACACATCTGATTTCTGGGAAGTAGAAAAAAGCCCCCCACCTACCACTGTTCCCTTCAACTACTGGCCAGGGTTGGTTATGAACCATGAACTTTACTCGTTATACTTAAAAGATTAAAATGTCAGGTTAAAAATACATATCAAAAATATTAAACAAAATGTGTTATGCTGTGTAAAAACTGTACTATTTGGCTTCCCTTTCTGGACACTGCTGCACACTTGTATTCAATACAGAGTACAGGAAGGCATGCATGTAAACACTAGTCCCCTGGGGTTTAAAAATACATGTGTAAAGGCCCTTCTGGTGGAAGACCGCTTATTCCAACCCAGATTTATTTGGAGTCTCCCTGCAGAAGCTGCTCCAACTTTTTAATGGGGATGTCGCTGGGTTGCAATACAGCAAGAAATGCAAGTTGTGAAGATGCTTGGAGGGAGAACAAAACCTTTTAAAACAGTTTCAATTTTAAAACCAGTTCTTTCCTTCTGTCAACTGGCAGCTTGTGGTCATCACAGCAAACATGTCTAAATGAATTAAGTTCATAATTAAATAATCCCCTTGGCAAAACTCACACCAAAGAGCATTTTATTCAGCAGGGTACCAAGTCCTTCTGGCAGTGGAAGCTCTCCCATCATTTGGTGTTGCGTTTCCTATTGCGTCTTCTGGATTTTTTACTTTTCAGTTTTTCCTGTCGTAACTGCTGGGAATAACTCTGCACTGGGTAGCACGATCCCTTGTGTTTATTGTAAGTGATGGGAATGGGGTAGTTCACAGATCCCAAGTTGCAAGGTGAAGTTTGCCAGGCCAGATTGTCAGGAGGGATATAATCCTGGTAATAATCAGAACTCCTGCTGTCATAACAGGTCTTGTAAGTCATGACAGGGTGTGGGGCTCTGAAAGAGAAACAACCAGGTTGCTGAAGGGCTCAATAAGCTATCTAAGGCAGTTCATCTCCTGCAATTCTAACCTAAACTTAAGAGGAAACAGAGCTAGCGAAGTACCAAGCTTTTTCCTATTTCTTTGTTACCACACTGAATTTATTAAGACTCTTTGATCTGAGGATCTCAGAGATTTACACCCATACAGAGCTCTATGATGCTCCCACAAGATGGCCATCTATTACAATCATGTACTTGCTTTACACAGATAAGCTCTAAAACAAAGACATCTTTAGCAGAAGGCTTTTCCCTAGCCCCACGTAATATGCTCTCACACGAAAGGAATTTCCCCCTGCCTTCTTCTTCCCATGTACTTCCCATGTTCCCATGTTCTTCTTCCCATGCCCTCTTCTTCCCATGTTCTTCCCCAACGAGTAGTCAAACATTGGGGAAAAAATAAATAAGCTACTTTCACTACCCTGAACATTTGGCTACTAAGCAGGGAAAAGGTTGCTTTAGGACTTCATGTCTACTTTTCATTAACAATGTGCAAAAACCAGCCAGGTGTGTTTTTAACTCCCAAGCCATAGCTAGGGTTTTAACTTTTGCATAACTATAACATAACCAGCCCAATAAACCTTTCCAGATGGCCTGCTGGGAAGCAAGGACTACAGAGGATTTACTTATGTTATCCCGTCTATAGCGCCTATCTCATATCTGCCCTACTTGACCAGAGGAATAAATAGGAAGCAATTGACCAGTCTTTACTTTTCCCCCAATTTCCTTGATAAGAAGAGAAGAGCCTAAAAACAGAAGCAGTAAAGTTACAGTTTCATTGGATGTGATAAGCTATTCTGCATTGCTGTCACTAAGTCTGAATTGCAACAACTGCCCTTTTCGGGCTGGAGGGAACTTTGATCACTGAAGACCACCTCAATACACCTTGAAACTGGGAGAAATGTTACAGTGCTTCTGGGTACAAATGCAAAACACAGCGAAAAACACGCACACACACACACACAGGCCTGGTTCAGGGCCAGCATTTAAAATGGTTGAATTTCAGAGCCAAGACTACCACTGAATGCCTCCTCTACCAAGCAGCAAACATTTTGCCAATTCTGCTCAGATGCAGAGAGAACAGCCACCTTTTGGCTGATCATCAAGCTTCTGAATTTAAACAACTAAACCCTTCCATTCCATCAAACCCCTCCTTCCCTGTATACAAAGTCTAAAGGGGGAATAACCATAAATACATACAAAGGTGTCACCAACGTGAGCTGCTTCGAATGATGTGGTTTATGTCCTGCTACCAAGGTACCAATACTTGGTGTAGTCCTGACTTTTCCTTGGATCAAGTCAAACCTTGAGGAATCTATACCATTGTTCCTTTAAAAAACAGAGAGAGAGAGCTTCTATTTAACCTGCGAGTCACTGAAAACCACTCAATGAGATCTCAAGAAAATGGTTCTGTTTGCTCCTTTCAGTCCGTCTTGTAAATACATGATTAATTACAAATCACCGTAAACAATAAAATAGGGAAACAAAAGAGCTGGGAGGCAGTGATTTGCCAAAGCCCACACAGCAGATTAGTGTCAGAATCTGGAATAACAACCAGATTTCTGACCTCCTGGTCCTCTTCCGCAGTGAAGCATTCATGCTGCCTCCTAAGCA